GAATCATAGCAAACAAAGATTAAACTGATGCAACCAGAAGTTGCAACATATATTTACATACAAAACACAAAACAAAGCACAAAAAGCTTTAAGCACTAACATTTAATTTAACCATTAACCGATGACTGCACAATGTTTGTAATGCAAAACCCCAACAATGTCGTTGAAGGAAAATGGGGTGTAGCTCCTGCAGGTAAGAGGCGTTTACCTTCGGGACAAATTGAGGTTGCCGATTGGCCAGTTGCTTGACGTTGACGAGCCTATTGGATTGATTGACAGGTGGAGTTGAGGATCTGACGTGCAAAAAAAAATAAATCATAGATTTTACTGGCCCGTCTAAGACTGTCATCATTTATTCCATATTTATTTTAAAAAATAATTCAATATTTCAGTGAATCTAAGATTTGAGAACTGAGTTTCCTTTCAAAATACTAATGATGGTTTCTCTATTTTTCAGTGAAAATTTAGGGGTGTTTCAACACCACCAAAAAGTGGCTAAAACTGCCACTGCTTGTCAATAAGATACTATTTCTGTCAACTATTTTTGTAATTAAAGATTTTGTTTAGAGTCACTATGTTAGAGTTTGAGCCTTAAGGCTTATTTAGGGAAAAAGGTTAAGAGCCTGCCGTATCCAGGAGCCAATAATGGGCTGTTATTCCAAAACAAATTCCTGGAGCTATGATAAAGACAGACAGACAAGAAGTGTTATCTTTGCTGTCAGAGAAATAATTCAGTTGACACCAGCTACTGAAGCTGTGACTGAAAAGACTGGAACATCTCCAAGGGTTTGTACATTTGTGTGTTAGTGAGGGGCTCTTCAAGTTTGTCTCCGGCTCTCAGTCCTGTGCTGGAGTTACCTCAGTTACATGATTTGTCACTGTGTGATAGAAGAGAAGCTTCTCCTGGGGTGGAGAAGGTTAGCAAAGCTCTTGTATGGTGTTTTGTTAGCTCTGAGAAAGTGAAAAAAACAAAGATTTCTAAAGTTTCAACCTGAAGTGGTGGCTATTGTTTGTTGGGACCTAAAATAATTAGAAAATTTGATTGCAGGAACATAATCTCAAACAAAAGTAAAATCTAGAGTAGGGGAAAAATTACAATGACAAATAGTCTTTGATTTGAGTGAAATGTTGCACATTTTTTTTGATGAGTGATGTAGATAATTTAGTTTGCATGGAGGTGGCATGTCTGGAACGGGCACCAGAAGACATAAGTGTTGGTATGACGAGTGAAGTGATAGTCTCATGAGGGTCCACCAGTCAGCCAACACAGTGAGTGAAGGTCACAAGTCACAGAGAAGGCCTTGTAAGAGTCATTAAACAGAATTACCAGCACCTGATGGAACTTGATGGAGGTCGTTTTGTAGGTTTAGACGAGTCTGTGTGGTTAAATGGTGCAGCTACCTGGTATGTAGGGGGTACAGGTGTCTTAGTGGCCTAATGTGATGGTGTCCACACATACTGTAAAGGCCCATAAAGACTACATTTTTTTAATTTAAATTTTTCATAGCACTTTGACATTGATGCTGTTTTAATAAAATTCTGTTTTTGCTAAGTACAGCAAACCTCTGCTTTCAAACGGTATTTCTGCTGGTATTTTGTGTATATATGTACAAATGGTAACATTAGAAAAGTTTTCCTTCAAGCCACCTACTTATTTTCCTCCTTTCGGCCACCTCCGTGCCAAAATCAGGTCTCACTTCATGGCTTGAGTACAATTCTGCAGGGTGCATACATTTTCTGGTGTTCTGGCACAACTTGGCACATGCTTGGATTTTTGATAGTTATGGTGCGAGCCTTCATTTTTATAGGTATACTTTAAGCAAAGTGAAGAAGAGTGCATTTTATCAATTGATACCTACAAATGTGTCTGTAAGGACCTGACTGCTGAGCGAGCCTTTATTTACAACTCTTTTATTTTTGAAGTAGCTAAAGTTTGTCCTAAAAGTCTTTGAGTTTACAGCAGTCATTCGCTCAGATTGGTGTTAAATATTTCTTAGATGAGCCACTCATTTCAAGTTCGTTACCTAAAAAGGTTATACCAGTCTTGGTCCACAGTAAGCATCAGATCTGGACAGAATCACTTACATATGTTAAACAATGTTTTATTTTTTAAATCAAAGCTGATTTACACTGAAAATCCAGTCTGCCACACCAAGTCCAAAGGAGAGTGCTTGCTTTCTCTTTTCATCTTGACCGATGCATCGCCCTCTCTCATGTCTGTCTAGGAGATGTAGACAGAGATACGACTCCTCACCTCTCCACGACCTTCCGCAATCACGTACTTCATCTCCTCCAAAGTGCTCTCTGGTTCTCAGCCTTCTGACCAGCAGCCTCTTCTGACACAAAACTGTCAGGCACTATCTGGGTTCCTGTCACCGTTCGTCCTTCTGCACTCACTCATACAAGGTGCCACTGTGAGAATTAGGGAGTGTGGGGTGTAGGAGCAGAGTGTAGGAAGTCAATTGGTTTAGATGACTCTGTATCCACACATTAAGGACAATCCATCGATCCATTATTTTTTACTTGCTTCTTCATTTTCGGGTCACAGGGTTCACTGGTGTCCATATCCAGCAGTCAATATGCAAGAGGCGGGGGACACCCTGGACAGGTCTCCAGTCACTGTCACTCCTTGACACGTCCAAACCACTGTCCCTCCTCTGGACCTGTCCAAACCACTGTCCCT